TCATGGCTGCTGCCGGAGATGCCAGGGATCATCACGAGGATCGTTGCTGGCGAGGCTGTGACAATGTATATAATAAGAATAGACAAGCGATTAGCGTCACTACGTAGCCACAGCGTCGCAAGCAGCGATCCCTGTGATGATCCCTAGCAGCTCCAGTAGCAGCGACGATAATCATCACTACGCATCTAAGCATCTCCAGCAGTGATGATCAGGACGATGATAAGCATCACTACGCATGCGTAGCATCTCCAGCAATCATGGTCAGGATGATGATAAGCATCGCTACGCATCGCTGGCATCTCCAACTGTGCCTAACGTGACGATTGAAATGCCTATAATACGAACACAAAGGCGATGAGCATCACTACGTACCCACAGCATGAATGATAATCATCACTACGCATCCATAGCATCTCCAGCAGTGATGATCAAGATGATGATAAGCATCACTACGCATCCGTAGCATCTCCAGCAGTGATGATCAAGATGATGGTAAGCATCGCTACGCATCGCCGACATCTCCAACTGTGCCTAACGTGACTTTTGAAATGTATATAATAGGAAACACAAAGGCGATGATCATCACTACCTAGCCACAGCATCGCCGGCAAGCATCCGCGTGAATGACAGCCATCACTACGCATCCATAGCATCTCCGGCAGTCGTGATGATCAGGGTGATGAGAAGCATCACTACGCATCCGTAGCATCTCCAGCAGTGATGATCAGGATGATGGTAAGCATCGCTACGCATCGCCGACATCTCCAACTGTGCCTAACGTGACTTTTGAAATGTGTATAATAGGAAATACAAAGGCGATGATCATCACTACCTAGCCACAGCATCGCCGGCAAGCATCCGCGTGAATGACAGCCATCACTACGCATCCATAGCATCTCCGTCGTGATGATCAGGGTGATGAGAAGCATCACTACGCATCCGTAGCATCTCCAGCAGCGATGGTCTATAATAGGAATACAAAGGCGATGATAATCATAACGTAGCCACAGCATCGCCAGCAAGCATCCGCGCGAACGATACCCATCACTACGCATCCATAGCATGTCCGGCAGCGATGATGATCAGGATGGTGATAAGCGTCACTACGCATCCGTAGCATCTCCAGCAGTGATGACCAGGATGATGATAAGCGTCGCTACGCATCGCCGGCATCTCCAACTGTGCCTAACGCGACTTTTGAAATGTGTATAATAGGAACAAAAGGCAATGCTCATCACTGCCTAACCACAGCGTCGCCGGCAAGCGCCCGCGGGAGTGACAGCCATCACTACGCATCCATAGCATCTCCGGCAGTGATAATGATCAGGATAAGCATCACTACGCATCCGTAGCATCTCCAGCAGTGATGATCCGGATGATAAGAGGCATCACTATGTATCGCCGGCATCTCCAACTGTGCCTAACGTGACTGTTGAAATGTGTATAATAGGAACACAAAGGCGATGATCATCACTACGTAGCCACAGCATCGCCAGCAAGGATAACCATCACTACGCATCCAAAACATCTGCAGCAGTGATGATGATCAGGATGGTGATAAGCATCGCTACGCATCCGTAGCATAGCATCTCCGGCAGTGATGATGATCAGGATGGTGGTAAGCATCACTACGCATCCGTAGCATCTCCAGCAGTGATGGCCAGGATGATGACAAGCATCGCTACGCATCGCCGGCATCTCCAACTGTGCCTAACGTGACTTTTGAAATGTGTATAATAAGAATACAAAGGCGGTAATTATGACTATGTAGCCACAGCCTCGCCGGCAATGATCCGCGTGAATGACAATCATCACTACGCATCCATAGCATCTCCAGCAGTGATGATCAAGATGATGATAAGCATCACTACACATCCGTAGCATCTCCAGCAGTGATGATCAGGTTGGTAAGAAGCATCACTATGTATCGCCGGAATCTCCAACTGTGCCTAACGTGACTTTTGAAATGCGTATCATAATAATAATACAAAGGCGACGAGCATCACCACGCAGGCGATGAGCATCACCACGTAGCCACAGCATCGCCGGCATTCATCCGCGTGAGTGAAAACCTAGCGAGCCAATTCCATCAGCTGTCAACGAGCACATGCTCATCCGAGCAAGTTTCGGATGAGCGTGGCCCAACGCAAATTCAATTATCGTCGTAGTATCGCCTGCATCACCAATGCAGCGTGGGCCTGCTGAGCTGGCCACCGGGACCGGCACGGCGGAGACGTGTCCACGGGCACCCTGACGGCCGGCGCAGCAACGTCGTCGGGGCGCCTCCACACAAGCGGTGTCGACTTTTTTTTTCCACGAAATCGCCTACAGCATGATCGCCGGTCGATAGAAAGGAACCTGAGCAAGGAGAGGTGCTTCTTGGAAGCGGTGTAAATTAATAAATTCGAAACATGCAAGGCCATGCACAAAGCCAGGGTACACATCACCTCCCACATGCTAAGAAGGCGACAAAGAAAATGACGACCCAAAGGGTCATTTCTTTAGCAAAACCAGTACAAGCAAAAGAGAGGGGGGTGAAACCGGGACCGGGTGCCAGAGGCACCAGTCCAGGTTGACTGCAAGATCGAGAGCCGGAGCAACTGTACAGCGCTCAAAGGCCTGTGAAACCCAGGCCCTACGCCTGGACACATCTCAAATGTCGAACACCAGGCTGCCTTTCTCGCAAGCCAAATCGTCTGGTGGTCGAAACTCCAAGTCAGTGTAAGGCCAGCATCCCGGTTAGGGAATGGGATCTCTGTGCAAGCAAAGTAAGGCATCGTCCGGCAGGTCTACCGAGAACTGCCACACCATCACAGCACGGCTGTTGCGTACGAAGAACGAAAATCGCCACTGTTCGTTTGGCAATAAAGTCCGGAAGGCCACAAGTTACCAAGTAGCCACCGCGTAGTTCTCCCCAGGAGTGCTACACCGCGAGAGAAAAAGTAGTTCGCCGCAGCAAAAATGATCCAGAAAGGAAAAGGGGGGGTAATCCAAGTTCAGCATGGGAAATCAAAATTGCGCCACAGAAAACAATGCGAAGTGTGTAACCAAAGCCCAGTGAGGCACAATAGCTGTCGTCATGTACCACCCTGAAAAAACCCCGGGAACGTACCCCGCAGTACGTCAGTGGAAAGTCTGTGAAATAAAAAGTCTCGCAAGCGTCAGCCGACCCGTCGGGCAACTGCTGTACCAGGGACCCGAGAGGCCTGGGCAGCGTGCGACGTAACGGTTCTTCGCCCCCAGGGGACTGAGGCTGGGCTTCGCCCGGCGACTTTGCAGGAACGAAATGGAAGAACGTAACGGGACTGTGGCCGGGGAAGATGTAGGAAGGGTCGGCGTAGATGCAGGTCTGCCGGGGCGCCTGGCAGGCAGAGCGCGCAGATAGGCCAGAGCGTCCTGGTGCCGCACGACCACGTTGGACGGTGGCCGACGCAGACGCCGCACGCTGCTCAGGCAGTGGCCGCTGCCGCACGAAGAAGCCCCACTTTTCCAAGAAGCTGTTGCGCAGCAGGGCGTACAAGCAGGCCGCCCTGCGCCCGGCAGGGCCTTTCAGCGCGCCCGGCAGAAGGCGCCTGAAGTTGAAGCGCCTGTCCACCTTGTGTCCCACCAGGCGCAGCAGGGACCGGGTCCCGTCTTAAAAAGGGCAGCGGTGCAGGTTTGCGACGGGCTTGAAGGCGTTGACGCCACCTCCAGCCCGAGCGCCACCGGGCAATATCATCGTAGCATCCTCTGCATCACCAATTGAGCCTAACGCCACACTTCAAGTGTGCGGAAGAAACCAATACCGGATGATGGTGGTGATGATGATGATGCTGATTGTGTGTGTAGCGGGCCAATTCCACCAGCTGTCAACATGCTCAGCCAACTTAAAGGTCGCCGTCGGTCGTCGCAGCGTTTTCTGCATCCTCTGCATCACCAATTGAGCCTAACGCTGATGATGATGATGATAAGGGGTTGTGATCATAACTATCGTCGTAGCATCCTCTGCATCACCAATTGAGCCTAGCCCCACACGTCATATATGTATAAGAAAGACATGCTGATGCAATAGTGATGACCATCCACCCTTCCCGCGCACCTCCCCCTTTGAGGACAAGGGGTCGGCGGATAATGCTGGGTGACGTCTTGGTTAGTGTCTGTCTGCAACTTGCAGGATCCCTTCTCCATTCAGCGACCTGACAGCGACAACGTTGCTGCTATCGCTCTTGGGTCGCCTCAATCTGAGCGAAGTTGATGCATGAGATGCAATCTGTGAGTGTGTGTGTGTGTGCGTTGTGTGGTTTATTTTAGCAGTTCACAAAGCAATCTACCCGCTGTTGCCCAAAAAACTGTGAGGCAGCCCTTTTTGTCGCTTCACAAGCAGAATGAGGTCACCGACTTAGCGGAAGCTTGGTTAGGATAGACCCATTCACGTGCCACCATAGCTACTGCAGGCGCGCGGGGCAGGCAAGAAAGATCGTTGACATTGGTTTGCCACGCAAGCTGAGAGTTCCTCACATCATGGAAGGTCCTGGAAAGGTTGCCATATGGAATGAGCCATATTGAACATGATGGGAGGATGACTGTTCTGCTCGAAAGGCCCTGGCAGATCTTTGATTGGCAAAGCTGCCTCTGCGCTTGGAAGCTACGCAAGGCCAGCAAGAGCCACTGCAAAAACATCAAAACTCACTGTAGCTCACGACGGCTCACGAGTGCAGGTCTTGGGTTCTTGGAAAACCACCGGTGGCCGTGGAAACGGAAGGACGGTTTTGCGTTGAGTGGCCGCATGTTGTCGCACGCCATCATTGGCCTGGGCATTCGGAAAGGAGAGACCAAGATCGCGGGCTTCGCTCAAGCCAGTGAGATTCAGGCCAGCAGTCATCCGCACTTCCAGAGGCCAGTTGGGGATGCATAGGTCAGCCAGCACATTGTAGCAAGCGAACTGCCTGTCATGGCTAAGTTTGTTGCGCTAGCCTTAGGCTCCTCAGCCTGAGGACAGTCCGAAGCATATGCCATCTGAGGATGGAACCCGGCAAGGCCAAGTGCTCGCTCCAGCACCCGTGGGTCCAAGCACTGCCATGGTGCTGGCAGCCACATGCGATGCATTTGGCAGGGGATCTCGGTAGCTTCAGCACCGAACGGTAAACACCATGCCCATTTGGCAGTCATCAATCAATAAATGCTGTGCCAAGGACGAGTGGCTTTGTTTTGTTTGGAGACGCTTCGCTGTCTTCACCTGTGGAAAGGCGACAGTTGCACAAGCTTTGCTTGCCACAAATTAAAGCCTTGTAACAAATGCAAACGTGTAGGCTACCGGGATGCACAAGTTGCATGGCTCGCATGCAACAGCAGCTCGGGCCTTGGAAGTGCGTCCTATCATTGGAGACTGTTGATATTTAGCCGCGTGGGGTTGCGTGATTTTGCAGTTTTCCAGCACCGGCAGACAAAGCGACTTGTGGTGAATGGGCTGGAGTTGGAATTGGCTTGGGGTGGGGAGGGGCAATTCGGCGGGGTGTGTGATTGCTGTTTACAGTGTACTTTGCATACTGCATACTTTATAAATGTGTGTTTTGGGTCTCCAATGTCACTCATGTGCATGTGCTGTCCTTTGGCACTGGCTTTGTCATGCAACAAAGAAACGAACACACACAAACACGTGTGTATCATGTACCTGTTCAGTAGAATAAGCACAATCGGGCCCAATGAGCATTCCATGTGTGAAACCTGTCCAAACAACTCATGGCTACGGCGGCCGCATGCCCTTCACGCATTCTCAATGTGCAAATCATTGCGTTTCACCCCTGCAGCCACGTAGCATCGGTCGCCGATGGGCAACACAATGCCCAGGATGTGAATGTATCAGACTTATGTGCATGCCATCACTTTCATACGTCTGCGGATTTACTGCTTGATCATCATGCCAGCAAGGTCCGGTGTTTTGTTATGCATTTGGGAAGCCTTGGGCATGGGCTCTGTTGGTGTGGTTTGGACCGGCAATGCCACAGCCGGTGACCTGGAATTCACGGAGGATGGAGCGGTTAAGGGGATACTTTGCGGCACAGAGGCGGAGCTGCGCCGTGCATACGAGATCAAGTTGCTGGAGACGCTTTCAGCGCGAGTGCCAAAGGAGCCCTTGCGCACACCGAACCCGATATCCGAAGTCGCGCAGGGCCAACCTTGCCGTGTCTGCATGGCGATGACTCGCTTACCCAGGCACCCGCTGCACAGGCTCTTCACCCAAGAGATCCCAAGAGGCTGGCACAAGAGTGGGGCAAGCTGCTAAGCGCCAACGATGGCCACCATTGCCATAGACGGGACGTCAATGCGCAGATGGCGCACGCGGAGCCTGAGCTCGACTCAGCTTGGCCCGGTCTGGCGGTCGACGCATCAACGTGGATGGACCCGTTTGCGCTGAGCCCGGTGGCAAGGGCGAGTGGGGCTCCTGGACGTCGGCGATCGACGGTATTGTGTCGGCATGGAGCCAGTTGAGGCTGGACGCAGATCCCTTAGGAAGAGCACCTTGTACTACCAGACGCAGTTTGCCTGCTGCCAAAGCGCCACGCGGAACTCGTACCAGAGCTGCGGCGACCCTGGCCTGGCAGGATGTGTGCATGCGACTCCGCGAGGGCGAGTCTGAAGAGGGTCCAGCAGGCACAAGCAAGATCCGACTTTGCCAGCTGTCAAGGCTGAAGCGCGAGATAGCGCGAGCAGTGCCAAAGGCGCCACAGCTTCTCGTGGAAGCTCCAGGCGCTCACTGCAAAGGTTCACGTTTTGTCTTTGGATGTCGAAAGCTGCGCGTACAGATTAAGTAGGTTGCAGCCGGTAGGGGGTTCGCCGTCAGGGTTGCCTGACTACAAGCCTGTGTGTCAAGGGCAGCAAAGTTTTGAGAACAAAACAGCAGGTCCCTTGCAATGCGTATAGAGTTGTGCTTCGAGAAGACATGAATCGGGGTCTTCGTAGGCAAACTGACGCACATTGGCATTGGCAGCCCTTTGCTTTATGCTAGGCCAGAATCATTTGCCGCATTGGAAGCCCGAAGCCATTGTTTTCCCACCCTCAGATGAGCACCTGTTCTGTGTAGTTGGGGTGTGGCGACGCATTGTGTGCAAACGTGGCTGCCGCGATGCGGCCTTCTATCGCGTGACCTTTGCTGAAGCGATTCCATTCCTCAGGCCCGTCCGTCAACAAGGCTTGCGCTGATGAGAGAAAGAAGAAGCTGAGAGCGCATTCATTGACCAGCATGAGTGTACCTAATTGTGTGAGGGTCAGAGGCAATATTGAGCATCACAACCCGGCCCCATTGCAAGTAGCTGTTGCCATTTGGCAGGAATGTCACAAAGCTGATGTGCCCCCCGCTCAGTTGCAGTTAGGAGCATGAGGTGGGGACGGAGGGAGGTGGGAGGGGGAAGAGAGTGGCGTGTAGATGTAAGAAACATGATTGTAAGGCCTGGGTTGGTGATCTATGCTCCGCGACGAGGTCTTTTGGAGCGCTTTGCTCAGCTCACATTTGACCGTTCTGGG